CTGGGGGGACTTGACCACTGAGCTGCATCCCCAGCCTTTTTCATTGTTATTTTGAAATGGGTCTCCCTGGGTTTGTGAGGGTGCCCTTGAGCTTGACACTGCCCAGGTCTCTGACATCCCAGAGTGCCCTCTCAGACCCTCCGCGTGCCCCCACACCTCCCTTTCCTTGTTCATGCCTCTCCTGTGGCACCAAGTGCAGTCTGACGGACTTGTGTGTCTCCCTCGTCATTTTCTCCGCCTTCCTCCCAGAATAAACATCACTGTGTGGTGTTGTGGGTGCCCACTGAGTGCCAGGCACCCAGAATAAGGCCCAGGACACAGCTGGTCAAGAGAACCTCAAGTTCCCATCTATAGCGTTCAGATTCTTGTTCATGGGCCCAGGTCTTCCCACACCGGGGAGCCTGCCTTTGACTGGGAGATGGGCCCACCTGCTTGCCAGGACGGGGTGTTGGCGCCACCCAGTGGCCAGGCCAGGGTCTGCACCCTGGGAGGTCCCCTGCCTCCCATGCCTGCTGCTGGCTGCACCTGAAGTTCTGCCGCCACTTGTTGCCCACACCTGGAGGTGGCCATTAAAGTGATGGAAACATACAGCTGATGCTCATGTCTGTCACCTTGGCCCTTTGCTCCGCTCCTGGCTGACAAGATCTGCGTCCAGAAAGCCACAATTCACAATTGTCCGCAGGCCAGGAAAACATAAGTGCCTGTCCCCTGCTGGCCCATCAGTACAGAGTGTCCATCCACACCCCGGGAAAACGTGAGAACGCAGCACTGTGGCAGAGCCAGGAGGACTGCCTGGGCACCATGGCAAGATCCCCTTTCACAGAATACATCCGCCGCAGCACAGATGAGCCTTGAAGCCAGAAACGAAAGGACACACGGTACGGATGCATCTGTGGGACATCACCAGAAGGGCAAGTCCACAGAGAGGAGAGTGCTGTGTGGCCACCAGGGCCTGGGACGGGAGGGAGTGACTGCTCAGGACTGCTGCATGTCTCTGTGGGCCGACGGAAATGCTCAGATGGTGGTGGTCATTGCCATCCTGGTGAATGTACTGAAAAC